GCAGTAAAAAAATCTCTTAAAAATTACTAATGAACTATAATTCATTTCAATATATAAAAAATAATAATTCACTGCTTCAAAAGCACATTATTTACTATTTATAACGTATTTTAGAAGTGTTCGATTTCAAACGGCGCAAGGCACGTGCTGCCCGTGGCGGGAAACCACTCAAACTAGTTTTTATATGGAATAAAGCTCCCAACGACCGACAACAATGAATTTACTGATATATTATTATTTTACCCACGTCTTCTCCCTGGAATTTGGCTAGTTCTCAGATCATTTTATAAATTATATATTTCATTAAAGATATACCTACTGAATATTCGAATGTTATCTTATTTCATAAACTAATTAATTATGTAGAGTTGGATTTGTGTGGTAAATACTTATTTTTAATTTGTATGAGGTACGAGCTTTATCCTCGCCTTTGTAAGAAGTATGTTTAAGTTTCTGATATATTTTAACAATAACATAAATAATTAAATACACTACTTAGCTATATATTTTTACTCCCTGTGTTAAAATTAACGAATTAAAAGAAATTCATTTCAATTCAACGTTTTTATAAAGCCTTAAATATATAAAAGAGTAAACCGATATGTCTCTCCCCATTAAAGCTTTCTGGAAGTTGAAATGGCTTATGAATCAACATGCGTTTACTTTTTATTATTCTATGAATGTCTGCACAATGCTATTTGACACTCGCCAACCGGCCAGCTACATGGTGCAAACCAAAAGTAGCGTTGTGCGCAATGATTGATCGTTAATTTGAATATATTATAATTTATAAGATCTAATAATAAATAATAACAATTATAATAAGTACCTATTTAAAAAACAATGTGATATATTTTTCTATTTAGTACATGATGAGTAATATTTCCTATTGTTTATTACACTTTTGTTTTACTTTGAACTGGTGCGCATATCTGTCCACATTTCTGAAGAATTGAAAATGCAAAGAAATCGATTAACTATTAACCAATCCGAATAAAGAAATATAAATGTTCATTGTTCATGATACGAAAGTCACGGATTTATTATTTTCTTTTAGAAAATAGGTAATTAGACACCTACAATCTATGCTACTTCATATTAAACTCAATTTATACAGAAATTTAGTTGTAGGTATCGTCTATACATATCACTGAAATTCTAACTGAGTCGAATCTGTACAATTTTTTTTTTTGGAAAATCTTATTGAAATAGTCATTATTATCGATACAGAGACCGAATCTATAGTATTCAGAATTTTTGTCTGTCTGACTGTTTGGGAACGTATCACGAGAGAACCACTGGGCGAGCGGAGCGAGGGTGAGTCGCTAGTTTATTTATAAAAACGAAAAGCAAATTAAGCTGACCTATGGTATAATTTAAAGCCTGTTTCTTACATTCTTAAAATGTATACACAGAATTTAAGAACCCTTTTGTAAAAACACTTGTTAACTCTATAAATACTGGTAAAAGTGGTGCTTTCGTCAAGGTCAGCTCCAGTTAAGCTTTAGTTTTTTTTAAGTACTGTAGTAGGTAACAGCACACAGCTGACAGAAAAAGTTTAAAATAAATTTTCTAGCGCTAGTCGCACTTGTATCCTCCTTAGTGCCCGGTCATATCACATTTTTTTATTAAAACTAGCGACTCACCCTCGCTTCGCCCAGGTTCGTCCTAGGTACCTACGTTTTGACGTTTAGTATGGTATTTTTTTTTTCAATTATTTTTTTTCGTGAATTTTTCCGGTGTTTTAATAGTTATTTTACTATTCGGGGTGAAGACAAATCCAACAAAACAAGGATCATAAAAATCGGTCCTACAGTTCTAGAGTTATAGGTTTTGTAACAAACCCGACTTTATTTTATATATACCTACTTATAGATTAGTTACGAATACTAAATAAGGCTTTGTCAACTTACAACTTCGAGGTTCGCTTGACTACCGAATGAAATATTATTAATTTCTATATGACTTTTTCGATTTATTTTATCGATTGAAATAAAACTTATTCATGTTTTTAATCGACACTTAGGCCTTTTAAGACCGAAACAATTTTGCCCAGCAGATGGTGTAATTTAATAACTTTATTAGATTATGGTATGTTTAAGTACAAATATAATATTATTATAATATTTAATAATATAATATTATTATTTGTAATTCAAAGGCCTAGCATAGGCAGGCTGGAAAGCTTTTTTCTTTGTTATTGGCAATAGATAAAAAACTATGCACAGACACAAATCTGTCGAGTTCGAATCCGTTATTTATAAATACAAACTTTTGTATTTATAGATAGACACCGATCGATTAATTTTTAGTAACATACGGGTATGTATATGGAAGCCGTGACTGAATCCAGCGTGGAGGTGTGAATAGGTAACAAATAAAAACCTACTTACATAAAAAAAAGTACAATTAATTTCCTTGCTTCTTTATTTGATTGATTTGTCGAAGCAATTTTAAAATATATAATATATATTTAGTACAGTTTTAATGTAATTCATTCCATTTAAAACTATCATTTACGATGAGATAGATAAACAGACGGACAGATGGACGGACAGACGAACCGACAACGACCACTAAGCCCGATAGACGCCTAATTTACGTACTTCTGCATCCAAACGTGTCAGTCAAAAGTCTGAGGTGAGCGTTACGGGGGAGGCGAGTTGAAATGCACGTTGATTGGTTAATTCAATACAAACAGTGATGGGAACCAGAAGTTTTATATCGTATCGTAGTCGATCGTCGTAATTTTCTGTTTTAAAGAATATTTTTAATTAAGACAAGTTTTCTTTACTATAATGAAATAATAATAGAATACTTAATATTATTTATACAGGTTTATTCAAGGTTTATTTACAGATATATCCATGGTTAAAGTTTTTGGAAAACTGTCCCTTACACTCTGTATAACTAAACTACTACTTATTTACATGAACTTATTATTTATAAAAAAATACAGTAGGTACTTATTACAATGATTTATTCTTTACATTTAGTGTATATAAATATTCATGAATTAAAAGTACAAAAATAATAATAATTATTATAGATAGATATCATAATACAGAAGAAATTGATAATAATACATAATAATGAGAAGTAAAATTAAAATCATAATTAAAAACAAAAAAAAAATTACAATAATTAAGATTAACAATCATGCATTTTATAATAATTAAATAACTTATTTAAAAAAAAATATATAGTTTAACTGGTACAGCACTAGTTACACGTGCCGGTAATTAAAGAAAAGTATAGCAACAATGAACTGCATTGAAAAGAAAGGGATGCATAGTCCGAGAATGCCCGAAGATGTCCGAATACATCAACGCGGTTGCGTTGCGACCAATATAACTTGAGCTCTGATTTAATTACATTTAATAAATTTGGAAATTAAAATTTACTTACCTATGAAAAGTGATGCCATTTTTTTTAAAATTACATGTTTGGCTACTATTTCCACACCATTTTATTGTACAGAGAGCCATGTTGCGCGTCTGTTGTATTTTTGAGTCTCAAGCAATGTGTTCGCGGGTCACTGATGTGGTCGCTACTGAAGTACATCGCGCGATCGTTTTCTCAAGTCAGACGTATTTGTCTAACGTGTTGACTGAAAGTGTTCGCTTTGCGTGAGGTCAGAGGTGTCTATTGGGCTGAGTAGTCGTTGCGAACCGACGGACGGGCGAACGGACGGATAGACAGAGATATAGATATAGGTTATGGAAAATTATTTGTTTAAAAGGTAATTTTGGAGGGCAGCATTTGAATCCATATTCATATATTTATTTATTCTTTTAACCCCCGGCGCAAAAGTAGGGGTGTTATAAGTTTGACGTGGATGTCTGTCTCTGTGTGTGTGTGTGTGTGTGTGTGTGTGTGCCTGTAGCTCTCAAACAGATGAACCGATTTCGATGCGCTTTTTTTCATTTGAAAGCCAGTTTCCTTGCGGTGGTTCTTAACTATGTTTGATTAATATCGGTCCAGCAATGTATGAGTATAAGATCTTTTCCAAAATGATGTAATGCATTTTAGCGTATGATTACTCGAAGTAAGTGCTTCACGCGTGCCAGTGTAATCGTTAAATAACAATTAATTTGCGTAGAGGTTTTTTTAAATTTTAAATTTATAATTAATAACTATTCTAAATAATAGATACCCCTATATGAAATACTGACTTGCAATAGTAGTATCAAAGTAGTATTTTCAATTTTCTCCATTTTTTTTGTGGTGAATTTCAAAGCCATAAACATTATTTGAATACTTGCAGTGAAAATTGTACGATTTTTTTGGAAGTCAAAGCCATTTTGAAAAGTAAATAAACTACCTTATCAACAAACCAACTAACTACGTTTATTAATTGTTTTATAAAATGAGATATTTTTGCCGTGATGAAAAACATGATAAATATTTTTTTTTATGGGACTAAGGGGGCAAACGGGCAGTGATGGAAAGTGATCACCGCCACCCATGGACATTTGCGACACCGCAGGGCTTGCAGATGCGTTGCCGGCCTTTAAGGAAAGTATACACTCTCTTCTTGAAGGTGGCCAGGTCGTAGCGGTTCGGAAAGACCACCGGCGATAGCTGGTTCCACAGAGTGGTTGTGCGAGGCAAAAAATGCCTTAAAAATCGCACTGTTGTGGAACGCTGGACATCGAGGTGGTGTGGATGGAATTTACTATTTTGGCGCGATGTTCGATGATGAAATTCATTCAGCATTATGCGAAATGAATAATATTTCGCTTATTTATTATATAATATATAAGAAAATATTAATCGATTTCGGATAATTCTGTCCATGCACCCGAATTATTTATTGAGTTCTTTCAATATTATAAAATTATTTATCTGTGATGTAATCTCATCAATAATCTGTGGTCTGAAATACAAAATACGATTGATTTAATGAAGCATGATTTTGACATATATTATAACCTATTAGACTTAGACCACAACCACCTGCATAGTTTTCTTGAAATTGATAGTGTTTTACAATAAAAATGGGCGAAGAAGCTGCTGATAATAATCCTTATAAAAAGAGGCAGAGAAAGAAGCGTAAAAACTTTTTATCAAACGCTAAGAAATATGCTAAAAAGGGACAAATGGGACGAGGTATGCAAATACCCGAAGAGCTGTATCAATATTTTGTTGGTATTTTGGACGTTATTAAGCAAGGAGTTGAAGATCCTGATGAAAGAAGTTAGTACAAATATTTTATTTATTATCGAATTGTTTTCTTGAATATAATATTTTACCTAAAATTACTATAATAATGTGGCAATGTTTATTTTCTTACATCTAAAATGTCATTTCAGAAGCCTTAGTGAATAACGTCCTTGAAAGAACAAAAGGGGAAGAGCTAAATGTTGTTGGCAATCAGTTAGGCTGTCGTCTCATTGAACTGCTACTTCCATATTCCTCACCAGAAGACCTTGAAAGATATGTAGATGTACTTTCTCCAGAGCTTCGTAAATTATGTTCCGATAACTTCTCAAGTCACATCATAGAAACACTTTTAAGGGTATCTTGTGAAAGAGCTACAAAACATTTACAGAGCAATGAAAATGACAACGCTGATGAAGCACCAAAAAAGAAGAAGAAAAAGCATTCAAGTAAATACACAGATGAGCATATACAAAAATGTAATGAGTTTACATTGAAAATTAGTAAATATGCATTAAATAATTTGGAAGATTTTGTTTGGGATAAGTATGCAAACCACATACTACGATCAGCCTTAAAATGCCTTAGTGGCATCACTTTACTACCGGGTGAAAAACCAAAAGTTAACATGTTTAAGGAAACAGTGCAAGATAACAAAGGCATTCCACCGCATCAAACTGAAATGAAATATAAGGTCACACCTGATGAATACAAAGAGATTGTTAAAGAATTTGCAAATAGGTTGTCAGCATGGCCACAATTTAAAGATTTGCCATACCAAAATATAACTTCTGCATTACTACAAATATTATTATATGCTATTAAGAATGTCGATAAAAATATAAGTAAAACTTTAGTAAAGAAGTTACTGAATGAAAGCTTAGCTCCCGAAGACTGGGTTGAAACCGGAGATGATGATAAAAAAGATAATAAAAATGGTGACAGTGATAAAAAAAATGATACAATTCTTGACGCTGATAAAATTATGATGAACGAGGAGATGCCTGAGAGTCGTTTACCACCACTTTTTAAGTCGGAATCTGCAGTTAGGTCAGTACCCTCTATAGAGTAATATCACTTTAATATCATATTATAAAATACTATTACCATTAAAATAATTAATTATATTACAGAATATAGGATGACTTGACTTAATAGCCATTGTCTTCAAGTGAATAAGAATTTTCAATCAATTTTGTTTTAAATAATTTTACATCTATACAGATAAATAAAATTGAAGTGTTTGTTTTTTATGTCAAAATAATAGCTTTTTACTGTGGGCACATGAAATTGTATATACTTATAAGAAAAACTCGACTTTTTTAATTTTTGTCTGTCTGTTTGTTCCGGATAATCTCCTAAACGGCTTGACTGATTTTGACGGGATTTTCACTGGCAGATAGCTGATGTTATAAGGAGTAACTTAGGCTACTTTTATTCTAGAAAAAGCATTAGGTTTCCACTCAAAAATATTAAAACGTACCTAGGGACGCACCCTAGCGAAGTGACGGTAAGTTGCTAGTTAAAAATATATTGTTCCAACTTGTGTACAATTTAAATAAAAAATAATTTATATAATTTTAAATTTATTAAGAAACTAGGTTCATCCCTAGATATGTTTTAATGGTTAGTATAGATTTCACACAGATGAGATATTTTCCCACAGTAAAAAGTATCCTACACGTTTACCCGAATAATTAGCTTTCATCATACCAATTTTCATTAAAATTGGGTTTGTAAAAGTGGTTTTCTTGTGATGCGTTCCCAGACAAACAGATAAACAAAAATTTAAAAAACTATAGATTCAGCCTCTGTATTGATAATAATGACTTTCAATAAGATTTTCCAAGTAATATTTAATATACAGATTCAACTCTGAATTAGATTTGTATTATAATAATATGTATAGAAGATTATAATTAATTACGTATCTAATAATAACATAAATTCCTTTAGTTACTAAATTTTATTGAATTTAAAAAAAATATTACATATTAATTTCAGATTACTTGAAGCAGCATTGTTTGTCTCAAAAAAGAAGACATACACACAGATCTATGCAAGATGTTTCATAAACAGATTGGGACAACTCGCGACCATGCCCATGTTGAATTTTACTGTACAAAGACTTATAGACAACTGTCAAGTTAAAGAAGAGGTAATTTTGCTTTATTTTAAAATTTCAACTAGCGATAGCAATAATTTTTGAGTCAATATTGAGACTTTGTTAGTACTCCTGGTTTGATGGCCCTACAACCTTTAGATGTCTAAAATCTGTCTTTTCCGTGACCATGATCGCTGTAAAGCATTCTGTTATATCTTCAGTGAAACACGATTTATTTTAATTAAGTTTAATGTGTAGAGCATAGGTACAGAGCATTGATTAAGTTCTGCCCACAGACTATCTTATATCTAACTACACAGATAACTTATTACTATACTAGTCCCTAAGTTAAACCATAGAGTAGATAGTGAAATATATATATAACACATTCGAAACATCAGGAACCAAAAATCAAAATAAATCCATAAAACAATCCGAAAAGATTACTTTAATGAACTTTAAGTATACACTATACAGTAATATATTTTCAATGAATATGGAGTGGTGGTTGTTAGAGGAGGCCTATGTTAAGAGGCACACTGATATTAGAGATATTTTATAAGTTGTCAATATTATATGTTGTTTGTGTAGTCATCTCTAATTTCAGAATTAAAGGTTTTTTTACTTTAATAATTTTTTGCATTTGCAATATTTTTCAATATGGCAATACCTAGTAACTCGAATATAAAAAAAAATTCCAACTATACAATTGCACCAAATAAGAACTCTCCTTGACCTTTTGTGGCTAAAGTACCTTTTTGTGTATACGCTGGCTATATTATTTAAAAGTGTCATAAATTAAATTCCCAACTTATTATTTTTTAGTTTGAACCAATGTTTGAAGAGCTGTCAAACAAATATAACGCTTTATTAGCGTGCGGCAACACTGGGGTACTGGTGGCTTTGGCCAAGGCTTGCTTACGGATGAAATCTAAGCAGATGCAATTTATTCAGGTAAATAATCCTACTGATATTATAAACGTGTAGGTTTGTGAGGATGTATGGATGTTTGTTACTCTTTCACGCAAAAACTAGTGAAATATTTTTAATGAAACTTTACAATAATATAACTCTTATAACAGAATAACACATAGGCTATTTTTATCCCGGAAAAATATACGGTTCCCGTGGGATAGATTTGTTTTCGTTTTTCTAGAGGCGAAACCGAGCGATGCGAGGGTGAGACACTAGTTCTATATATAATAACTAGTGACTCACCCTCGCTCCTCTCGGGTTCGTCCCTGGTTACGTTTGAACGTTTAGCTTAGATTTCTCAGAGATGAGATATTTTCCCGCAATGATGTTTTCCTAGCCGATTCCGGCCACGGCGGCCAATCTCATTGAGACTAGCCAACTGCGCAGGAGGTATTATAGTGCACAAGTGTACGCGCAGACACAGGTGCACTCTATTCCTGTCACTCTCATACTCCGGTGGGACGACGCGAGACACGACCAGTGAGAGTTAAGGCGCAGGACCGACGGCTTTACGTGCTCTCCGAGGCACGGCGGTGAAACACCGCCAACTTCCCAACTCCGGGCTGTTACTGAGACTTACTATACAGAAAGACTCAATAACTAAACTTGGCCCGACCCGGGACTCGAACCCAGGACCTCCGAGTGTGCAGCCGTACATGCTAGCCACTACACCACCGAGGCAGTACAACCCGCAATAAACAGTATGCTATATGTTGAGTTAGATAAATGGTTGTGGTGGTCTGTCTCGGCAGACCTGCCGTCGGGGCGTCGTAGTTGAATGCGTAAGCGATCCTGCGACGCCCCATTAAGAGGGGGAAGGTTTTGTTGGGTTTTAGTGGGTATTACTGGCTGTATTACGCCGGTGAGTCCCACACGTCGTGCGTAAATGCATTTCCCAACGTTAAAAAAAAAAAGATAACCAGCTATCATCATACCAAATTTCATCAAAATCGGTCCTTGGGTTTTCTCGTAATGCGTTCCCAAACAGACAGACAGAGAGACAAAAAATCTTAAAACTATAGATTGGCCTCTGAATGACTATTTCAATAAGATTTTTCAATAAATTAATAATGTATAGATTCGACTCAGAATTTTATTATAATATGTATAGGTTTAATATTTTATTTATTTATTACAGAATTTAGAAAAGGCATTCAAATGTGACGAAGGAGACAATCAGAAACTATTGCCAGTACAGTGTCTGAAAATGTTGCCTCTTGGTACTAAGGATGGCAAGGACTACTTCATAAACGTCCACGGCTCTGTCGTTTTGCAGACTATATTGGATTTTCAGGTAAATACTACTATTTTAAATAAAACTATCTTTTCAGATTATAGCTGTAAAGCATTCGAAACCGCGGGAAACAAAAATCAAAATAAATCCGCGAAATAATCCGAAAAAATAGCTTTACTTAAAATGCGTAAATCTAAAAATGTATTAAATACTACTCATAGTATAAGCTTTTTCCTGCGCATACTCTTGCATTGGTCATTTGTAAAATGTGAATATTTTATTTTATATTTTCTTAGATTTATGCACATATGTTACTTTTTATCCCGGAGAAATGTACGGTTCCCGTGGGAATAAAAATGATTTGATTATAACATTGATCATTTTTATGAAATATTTTATGGTTTTTTGATATTCAACGTTTCTAGTGCTTTATAGCGAATATGGTCATGTGAAATAGAGGTAGTTTTATTAAACAAATATTGAAAAACAAAGATAAACCTATCCCACGGGAACTGTACATTTTTCCGGGATAAAAAGTAACTTATGTGCCATTCCAGACTATAGTCTATCTCTGTGCCAAATTTTATCCAGATCCGTTCGGCCAGGACATAGGATAGTTTTTATCCCAGGAATCATGACTCTTATTATCTTCAATTTCGAGACAAAATAATATCTATATTCTTAATAAAATAATTATTTAATTCTGAGCGGAAAGTGTCAATTGAGATACCAAAATATTTATAATATTTATAGTTTCGTGATCTATTATATTTAATATAGCACATTCCCACTCTATTAAACACTAAAAATATCTAAAGTCGTTAACACTAGTATATAATATTAGTATGGATTAGTATAGATTAGTAGATTTTATGGGGTTATATGTTTTATTAATATTTTTCAGCGTCCAGCAAAAGCAGTAAACGGTCTTCTAGAACTTACCTCAGAAGAGTTAGTGTATATATTCAGTGATCCAAAAGGATGTCACGTGGCTGATGCTTTCTGTAAGGGACAGTTTGTGGGGGTCAAGGCTCGGGACAAACTTATATGGAAATTGAAAGTGAGTTTTTAAATTGCTATTTTATTTAATACTTTCTTAGATTTACGCGAATATTTGACATTTTAAATAAAACTATCTTTTCGGATTATTTCGTTATTATCGTTCGTATTATTAAGTTTTTTAAAAATTGTAATATTTATAATAATAACAGCTAAAATTAAATAAATAATATGGCTATATTTAATTATAATACATTCATTAAAATCCAATCAATAGTTTTTGTGTACTAAGCTGTATAAGTTACTATAGTTTCTTAACTATCCCACGGGAACTCTTTAATTTTTTGGGATGAAAAGTATCTAAGATGTTGACCGGGGATATAAGGTACCACCATCCAAAATTCTATTTAAATCAGTCCAACGGTCTCGGAGATTCGCCGGTACAAACAGACAAACAAAATTAAAAAAAAATCTGGATTTGTTCTACAATTTCTCTTCTTACATCCCCCTGACTCGGTTTTTAGCAATTTTTTTCTATGTACAGACATTCCACCTCTACAGTTTATTATAGTATAGATATGGCTTCCCTCCATGTGTCACACAACTTATTGTCTAAGAGCTTGTAACGAAAGTGGCCAACTTTTTTGGTTTATCACTTGCTCACATGAGTATGTAATAGCCATCCCTGGATAGACAAATGTAATAATTATAAACTTATATCAAAACTTGTGGGTTTATTTGTAAGTCTTGTTAAAATTTAAAGTGGGTTTAAAATTACATAATTTCCTTTCAAAATTTTACATTAGGCCGTTCTTGTATTGACTTCATATACAAAATTTAACTTATGCCGTTCTTGCACTGACTTCATATACAAAATTTGATTTAGGCCGTTCTTGCACTAATTTCATATACAAAATTTGATTTAGGCCGTTCTTGCACTGATTTCATATAAATTGTTATTTATTTTCAGGGTTACTACCAAAAGTTAGCTTTATCCCAACACGGTTCAAGAGCTTTCGAGCAGATATTCGAAGCGGCGACTATAGAACAAAAAGTAAAGATTATGACAGAATTATCAGATAAAAGCAATCTACTCAACAGTACTAACTACGGACGTCTCATTGCTACCAAGTTAGATGTCAATACTTTCAAGTTATCGCAGAAGAATTGGGAACAGAGTAGATTAAATAAATAAATGTCGAAGATGTATATTTTGTTTTATTTGTATGTATTCAGTCCTTTAAACATCCACTGCTGGGGGTGGGCCTTCCCTAAATATGAATGGGATCAGGCTGTAGTCTACCACGCTGGGCAAGTGTGGGCGGACTGAGCATGTCTTTTGAAATCTTGCAAGGTTCTCTCATATATGCTGGTCTCCTCACGAGGTTTTTTGTCACCGTATGTCAAGTGGTAAACAACTAGGTCTTACTTACATTATAAATAACATTTTAAATATTAAGTTTAATTTGTAAAAGTATGTATAATGAATATATATAATGAGAGAATTTATAATGAAGTTAGTTTAAATTAGTTTTTAGTATTTTGGGACGATGCGGAGTGGTACCCTAGCCGGCAAAAAACCTGCGTAACGAAAATGCGTGGAGTAAGATTTTTATGTATAGTTATATCTGTTCGATATACAGTGCCTAATTATTATTGTTATTATTATATATTTTTTGAATCAATAAAATAAAAGTGTTAAGATAATTTTGTTAAGTACCTAGTTTTTGATTTTTATCGATAAAAAAATCGTAATAAAAAAAATTATACCCGAATAATTATTTTCTTTTATACCTCGACTAGAACTTGAAATTATTATTTCTGTAATAAGGAACTTCGTTCCTATCTGTCCCACGACACCTTAATATAATTTCTTTCTTTTACGTTGAAATTTTATAAAATAGGACATAACATTTAAATAAATTATGGTTTTTAAAAAAAAAAACTTTCTACCTTCTGACTGTAGCTAACGTAACTTGCGATAAAGATAACCACAATTTATGGTAACACTGTATAAATATTATTGGTTTTATTTGTCATGATTATTAGTAAGAACTACTTTATAATTTACCAATAGATGGCGCTGCCTATATATATGCCATAGAAATTATGATGCAAGTAAACTATTAAGCACTCGTACTTTTGCCAAGCAATAATTTAAACAAAAAGTGCTTGTGTGTGCAATTCACAGGGAAATGTGAAACTTATCTATACATATAATAAAATTGTAACTAAGCCGAATCTATTTTTTGGAAAATCTTATTGAAATAGACATTATTATCGATAGAGAGGCCGAATCTATAGTTTTTAGAATTTTTGTCTGTCTGTCTATCTGTCTGTGTATTACCGCATCACGGAAAAGCCACTGGAGGGGTTTTGATAGAATTTGGTATGGTGATAGCTGGTTATCCGGGTCAACATATAAGATACTTTTTACCGCCGAAAAATGTCTTATATCTGAGAAAAAATACAAAAACTGCAATGTAAGAGTATACTAATATATAAAACTTAAGAATTTGGTTTTTCGTCACCTGAACGCAGGCGGAGCCGCGGGCAATTCTAGTAATATTATAATATTTATCAGAAAATAACAACGATTACCATGGCAACATGGCAATGTATTCTATCTTATTCTCTCGCCGGCTTAATCCTATATGTGTTGTCTCTTTTTAGTTTCGCATTTTCGTTCCATCGAGTTTCAAATCACAACGAATGTAAAGAAGTTTCACTTCAAAAAAGTGTTCCTTTACTTTTTTTATTAGAACTAATAAACTAAGAAAAAAGAAACAAAATAAGATTGTAAAAATATTTAATGATAAAAGAGTTAAATTACATTTAACTTTCCTCTGAGATCGCGCTATTTTAAAGAAAATATCAATGATAATTTTCATTTGTGTCACATTTAAATTAAAAAGATAACTATTATTTACACATCAAAATTAAAAATAAAATATTGACCGGTGATTATTAATTAACATATCTATAAGCATATTGCCACAGAGTAACAAAACAAATGATAATTCTTAAAAATTTTGCATGTATGTTTATTTTCATGAAAATCGATTAAGCAAAATCGATAAAAAAATAATTAAAATGATTAATGTCATAATACAAAAAGTACAATAACATTAACAAATTGAATACAAACTAAATATATTAAGACTGTAGTGACTGAAGAAGTGGTCTCCACTTCAGACGGGGTATTGACAGATGCCATTACAACCCTCAGGTATTACCCCCGGCATGAGCTTGCACACTTTATTCCCACATATATACTCGCCCTTTCTTACACTTAACTTTGGCGGTGGTGGGCTAATACCTGCAAAAATATAAAAATTTAGAGAAAAATTTTGGGCGTGCCTATTTTACAGATCTCGATAACGGTTCACTCACGGGTTCAATGTTAATTAAACCTATAACTATAAAATAATAATTTAGTATCAGGCTTCAGTCTGTTTGTTTGATCTGGCCATTGTTCATAACCCTGGTCAAGTACTAGTTGGCGGACTACAAAAGTCTTTCAAAAACTTGTTAGATTTTGTCAGGTTTCCTCATTTTTCTTGGGTAACTTAAATAACAATTATTCCACCCATAGGAAAGGGGTGGAAATTTCAAAATGTTTATGGGAGCCTTGAAATAAACGATCAATTTAAATAATATGAAAATCAGCTACAGCTATCGCGTAGATAACATACACAAGAGTGCCTCCTTTTTTCAGAAGTCAGTCAACAAACCTTTAACGCCGGGTTCTCCTCCCTTGGTCCGTGCAGACCGTGACAGCCGGAATTGTGTCGGCCGATTTCTAAGCCAAAAGTCCAGGTCCATTGGTGACGAAGCCGTCAGCACGAGGGCTAAGCATAAGATGACGGAGAGAAGCTGTAAAATAAATAAGTACTTTTATGTTACTCAGAATTTTGTAATGTGGAGTTTTGATGATGTCCATTTGAAAAAGATTTGCTCAAACAGTGTAGTAGATATTTCTGTTGGTTTAGGTTGTTGCTGAGAATATTTTGACAGACAGACTCGAACTCAGGACTTCCGGATCTGCGGCTGCACATGCTAGCCACTACACCAACGAGGTAGTAATAAAAATAAAAAAATATAAAAAAATAAAAAAAAGTAAAAAATAAAATAAAATTTCTCTCTTTTTAATTTTTAATTTCATTAAAAACACCCATAAATATTTTGATGATAAGCACCGCTACGTCGGGGATCATAGATCGCCAAGAAACTAGCTTTCAAATATAAACAACCGCATCCAAATCGGTTCACTCGTTTAAGAACTACAGACTATAGTGCCAGTGGTTTTCTCGTGATGCGCTAACAGGCAGACAGACGACAGACAAAAATTCTAAAATCTTTAGATTCGGACTCTGTATAATGTCTATTTTAATTAGATTTTCCAAAAAAATATTTAAATGTACAGATTTGACTTAGTTACAATTTTATTATATGTATAGACTGTTATTGTTTATGTTTTTACCTTGTGTTGTGATCGTTGAGTGACTGTTTATGTTATAATTGCTGTCATAACTCATAGGTTACGCCTTTTTGATATAATCTTAAATGTTAAGGTCTAACGTGACGCTCTTTATTTATAGTAGAAACCTATCCTAATATTATAAAAAAGAAAAAATGGATAATTTTTGTTTGTAGGTAGGTATATTTGGATAAACTAAATATCCGCTGAAACGATTTAGATGAAATTTGGTATGAAGATAGTTTGAGACCCTGGGAAGCATATAGGATAGTTTTTATCCCGGAAATCATCTCTTAAAGGGATAATAAGGGCGATGAAAATTTGTATGGGGAATCTATCATTTCTTAAGTAAGGCATATAAAACTCATCATGCCTATGTATACTAATATAATATAGTCTATCTATTACATATTAACCTTTCAAACGAACCTAGTTACGGACCTGAGCAAAGCGATGTCGAGTCGCTAGTATCTTAAATACTGATATCAATTTATCACCATATTATGTATGTAAAATGTAATGACGTGAGGAATCTACAATGAATATTTTAGAACATAAACACGTATAGAAACTTTTTCTTTCTAACTTTCGTTACAGGTAGGTACTTGGAATATACAGCCCTGGATTTACACTAGGGGCACTCGGGGCTAGTGCCCAGAGCAGCAAATTTTCAAGGGCTGCAAAATTCGAAGGATAAAAAAATCTTTGCGTTATCGAAAAAGTTTTTTGTTATTTAAAAAAGATATATAATAATTAAAAAAAATTAACTAGCACATTTTTCTGGAAAATTGATTTTTTTTTAATTAACAATTAAAAAATTGAAAATTTTACGTAAAATTTCGATAATGAGGCGGCATTTCTTCCAGTGCCCAGGGGCTGCGGTAAGGTTGAATCCGGTACTGGGAATGTACTTCTTTCTTTGTCTATTGGACTCAACAGTCTTAATACACAAAGACAAACGGAAACTACGCACCTATTAAATATTTTCAATTTCCTGTCTAGTTTCTATATTCGGTGCAATAAATACACAACATATCTCAGATGGTTTTTTTCCGATTTACGACATAACGTTTACTGATAAGGAGCTTTTACACAATTTATACGTACACAAGTGACTTCCTCTCGTTCCACTCGGGTGTGCTTTATTTATATTCCTGTACCTGTGGATGTTTAACGATAGTTTTTGTGTTCCTCACGTCATAGTCTATGTACAATTTTCATTCAAATCCATCCAGCTGTTTCAACTTGGTGGAACACAAATAATTAATACATTATACACACGTGTGTTTGGACGCAAACGTAGAAGAATCTTATAAAATACTAGCGGTTCATCCTCGCTTTGGTCGGGTTCGACCCGAAAATCAGAAACAAAACTATCCCACGGGAATCGTAATTTAACCGGGATTAAAAGTGTAGCCTTTGTGCTATTCCAAACTATAATCTATCTCTGTGCCAAATTTCATCCAGATCTGTTCAGCCGTGCTGGCGTGATGTAACAAACATCGAAACATCCATCTAAACTTTCACATTTATAATATTAGTAAGACTTGAGAATAACATACCTATAATAATTGTATGGCTATTATTATTAATAGAATATATTAATTTGTCATTTTAATATAATTTAAATAAAATCTATTTTTCTATGATTACAATGACATTGTGTCTAAGCCCCTTTATTGAAAAGCTCATTGAAATACGCTTATACTTAGTACTTCTTTTTAATTTAATATTTACTTTATCATTAAATTAGTCATCAAATGTTAAACGTAATATTATAAAATGATTAAAATTCATTATCATTTTAGAATAGGGATGTTTATTTTTTAAATATTAACTTTAGAATAGTGATTATTTATTCCTATCTAGTCAGCCAAAGGTGACTAAATTGGCTATCTCCACCCAGGAATATTACAGTTCCCAAAAACGATTGCAGATCACGTGCTTTCGAAAATATTTTGTCTGTGGTTAGATACCATGCTTCTACATAATATAATTCTGTACGTTTTAAAACTTTTAATGAGACTTGCAACGAATAGTATAATTATTATATTCGGCCATTCGGCCCGCCGAATACCGAATATTCGGCGGGCTTTCTGGCCGAATAGCGGAGTAATTTAAAAAGCCTAAGTCTGTAATTAAAAGAAATATAGAACGGAATATCGCGAAGTCTAATTAAAAGAATAAGATTAAAGTTTTTTTGCTATAATTATGTCATTGTTTTTGATTAACATAGTAGAAAGAAATTTTATAATCTGCTGCGACTACAGCATTTGGAGGTCACTGGTTCAAGGCAAGTCTTAGGGACATACTCTAAATAAAATACACTCTAAATTGCAGAATATGGTTTTATAATAATAATATTAATGGAAAAATAGGATATAGGTACTTTTAAATAAAATAGATATTATTTCTAAACACAGAATGAGATAAATAAATAGGGTAATTTTTTGGGGTTCTAAAATAGATAATTGAAAAAGAAAGATATAAAAGAGAGAGACAGAGAGAGATAATAAAGAAAATTAAAAATATATAAGTATATCTAATTTAATAATAAAATTATTTTTCGAGACCTCAGTCTCTCTTGTGATCATGATCTCGAGGACCAAAAATCAAAATTAGCAAAAAATATTTAAATGTAAATAGAAAAAAATATGAAAAATTGCAAAATTTCACATACTACAGTATAGTACAAACCTGACGAGAATTGCAACCCGTTCAGTTCTTTCTAAAGACACATTTTACAATTTTTAAGCTCCAATATTAAACAAAGATTACTTAACAGTTTTTAAATAAACGTAATATAAACTAGTTTGTGTCAATGCCGAAGTTAAAAGAAAACACAAAACTCACTCAATCACAATTTGACCAAACTTACCGATAAATAAAACAATATAATTTAATTAAGAAAAAAAAACAATTTGCCAGTTAAAATTTTAAAATACAATAAAAAAAAATTTAGGTTCCATTATTTTTTGTGGCAATATTAACACATATTCACAAAATGTCTAGTGAATTTTGTTCATTTTAAAACTAAATATATACATTGTTATTTTCCAAATAAACAATAAATATGCGTACCAGAAACCGCATGTTGTCAGCGTGTGATCCAATGAATGACTATAGCTGGAAGCGGTTAGGTGACCTGCCGTACTACGATATGCCTCATGACCTCACTTTTCAACTTGCTATGTCTCGCAATTCTGTTCTAAGAATAAATCTTTGTAAATAATGTCTTTGTTTTATTTATTTAATTATCTATACAAATAAATAAAATTAATTAAAGTGTCAGTTTGTAATGTCAAAATGGTACTTAGATGCAAGGCAAGAAAAAAAAACAATTTTAAAAATGTTTTATCTGTCTGTTCTTCGCTAACCTCAAAAATTTCTGGACCGATTTTGACGAGACTTTCACTGGAGAAAAAAAAACAAAACCCCATGAATTGATAATGAACAAAAACCGCGTACTTGAAGTGCGCATGAGGGTAAGGTGCTAGTTAAATATGAAGAAAATATTTTATGCATAGTTCAATATGCTGGATATTGAAGTGCAAAGTCTGTATAATCTGTGGTTGGGGGGTTCACAGAGCTGCACAGGGCCGAATTTAAAAATGTGTAGCTCTGTACCAATTAAGGTTCGATCAAGCCTTGAGAGTACTTGATGGGCCCTAAAATAATATTGTAGTAACGCGCTCGCTTGGATATCAATAAAAGGGGTATCAACTCCCGGATCTCGCAGTTCTGTTAATCTCATGTAAGAATCATTTTGAATTTGATAAAAAAATTATTATGAAGTAAATCATCGTAAAGAAACCTGCTTATTCAAGAAAATTTAACAAGTTTATGAAAAACATGTGAAGTCCGCCAACCCGCACTTGGCCAACGTTGGGGACTATGACCTGAAGGCCGATAGGACTCGTATTCGTGGGACGTACAAAAAGGGCTAAAACAGAATACACTATACTCGTACATAATATGTACGATATTATCTCACTGAAATATAGAGTCGGCACAGAATAAGGTAGGTACTACTTAAAAATGGACAAACGAACAAACATTCGGCTTTATAATATTGGTTTCATGATGACCGTTATACGCTTTATAATGACCTCGTGTACTTCCGCGGTACGGTTGCTCCAAAAAGTTGAAAGATTTTGTCAAATATATACTGCCACGACCAGGATTTCCATCTAAAAGAAATCGCTAAATGAAATGTAGTAGGTACTTAGATATACCATGACCTGAAGTAACACATAGGTTTCTGTTTAGAACCTAGGTGCACGAGCAAAGCACTCGCTTACACTCGAAGTCACTTTCTATACTTAGGTACCTATAATAAAATTGTAACTTAGCGAATTGTGTACATGAAATATTTTTTAATAACAATGACTGTAACGTATTGTGTACAAAATATAGACTAAACTTAACTGCCTCGGTGGTGTAGTGGCTAGCATGTACGGCTGCACACCCGGAGGTCCTGGGTTCGAGTCCCGGGTCGGGCCAAGTTTAGTTATTGAGTCTTTCTGTATAGTAAGTCTCAGTAACAGCCCGGAGTTGGAAAGTTGGCGGTGTTTCACCCCCGTGCCTCGGAGAGCACGTAAAGCCGTCGGTCCTGCGCCTTAACTCTCACCGGTCGTGTCGAGTGGTCGTCCCACCGGAGTATGAAAGTGATAGGAATAGAGAGTGCACTTGTGTCTGCGCGTACACTTGAGCACTATAATATCTCCTGCGCAGTTGGCTAATCTCAATGAGATTGGCCGCCGTAGCCGGAATCGGCTAGGAGAAACATCATCATATAGACTAAATAATTATAAATTCAAAATTAAAAAAACCCCTACGCAAATTAATTGTCATTTAACGATTACACTGGCACGCGTGGAGCACTTAATCGAGTAATCATACGCCAAGATGCCTTACATCAGTTTGGAAAAGAGCTGATACTCTTACTGCTGGACCGATGTTAACCAAACATAGCTAAGAACCACCACCACCATTTATAATATCCCTCTTTTTTCGTCGAGGATCAAAAATAATAGTTATTAAAAATGTTGTTTGTTTGTAAATTTTGTGTAGTGATTTTTGTGTGGTGATAACTTATTACTCGAGTTAATATTTAGAATATCTTGTACTACTGGAAAATCTTTCATACCCACGGGAAAACACAATAACTGGTTTAATCGAGTCATCCTTAGTTTATATGGCTGACGCTAGCTAAAACCTTCACAAACCATTTTTCTAGTACATACATTAAAACGTACTAGAAAATTGCAGGTCTTAAAAAGGCCAACAGAAAAGTCCGTAATAGTATGAAGGTGTATGTCTATCTCTTATGGTACACTCGCAATAACTATTTAAGTATATCTATTGAGAGAAAGCGATATAATTTTATCGACTTTTATTAGGTTTCATGGGTACTTATAATTTTATTTTTATTTTATTTTATTTTATTTTAATTAGGATCTCCAACAAAAGATACACACAATATACAACATTATATAAAAACAAAAAGCAAATAAGACTCACAATACGTGTGCTCCTTCACTTATAGGAGATCACAACTTGCTCATTAATTTATTTTACGTTATAACTAAGTTTAAACTAAGAAAAAATTAACGTCTAGAAACAAATCTGAAACTATATATAGAGACACAAAAAAAAAGAAACAAATCATATTACAACATATTTAAACATTTCTACTAAAGTTACGATAAGAATTTAGTAAGACTACTTTTGAATTGAAACATATTAGTGGAAAAGATATCTAATTCAACATGTTGTTTAGAACGCGTATTGTACTGTCGACAGATCCTTGGAATAGCGGCGTGATATCTCAAATTTGTTTTGCACAGTGGAGTATAAAACAAACTATATGTATTTTTCCGAGGCAAACGAGAGGGTACGTTAAATTTTAGAAGCTGTAGTAATTCACTACAATCAATTTTCGAATGGGTTATTTTATAGAGTGTTATAATATCTGTTATTTTTCTACGACAAACGAGCGAAGTCATCTTGTAATATTTAAGTCTATTGTGATAGTTAGGGAGATTTTTAGCCGTAGTATCACTGTAAGAAAGATGATAGAGGAAACGTTTTTGTACACTTTCTAACCTTTTGGTGTAAAAGTCATAATGTGGGTTCCAGATGATGCTATTGTATTCCAAGATAGGACGGACGAGTGTATTAAATAATTTGATTTTAGTGGACGCCATCTTAAACTCTTTACTATTTCTTAGTACGAATCCCAACATCTTAAAACCCTTGGATACAATATTTAAGATATGGGTATTGTATCGCAAACTAGCATCTAATGTAATTCCAAGGTCCTTAACAGTATCTACCTGGGAAAGCTGATGTGAGTTGATATAGTATTTGTTTGGGTTAGCGATTTTATTGCGAGTGAATTGAATGTAATGGCATTTAGACGTGTTGAGTGACATCTTATTTTCGACGCACCAGCTTATCAGTCTGTTAACATCATCTTGTAGTTTAGTCACATCATCGTTATTTTTAATAGGTTTAATTATTTTTAGGTCGTCTGCGAATAAGTAGAATTTTGAGTGATGAAAGCACTTTGTTATGTCATTAATAAAAACATTGAAGAGTAATGGACCAAGGTGAGAACCTTGCGGTACGCCGGATGGCGCCGAGCAGGTATACGAGCTGTGACCACTAATAACTACTTTGAAGGACCTACTTTGTAGGTATGATTGAAACCAAGACAACAGAGTACCACTAATACCGAATTGTGAGAGTTTTTCCAATAAAATTATGTGATCTACTTTGTCAAATGCTTTACTAAAGTCTGTATAGATTGCGTCGACTGGAACTCTATTGTCAATGTGTTCAGACAGCGTCGAAGTAAAGCTTAACAGATTACTAGTTGTTGATCTTGATTGTAGGAAGCCGTGCTGATGACAAGAAATTTGTTGCTTAAGATCCCGAGATAATCGCTCGTTTATCATTTTTTCGAGAACTTTACCCAGTGTTGGAAGTAGAGAAATTGGTCTGTAATTAGAGACAAGGTTTTTACTGCCGTTTTTATAAATCGGAACTATCAAAGCTTCTTTCCACAAGTCCGGAAAGATCCCGTCCCTTAGAGAGCGATTGAAAATCGCATTTACGGGTGAAGCTAGGGCTTTTGCACATCTTTTTATAAAAATCGGAGGAATTCCATCACTACCAGCGCCCTTTCTTTCATCTAGAGATTTTAATGCATTGTATACTTCTGCAGTATTAAGAGATAAGTTGCAAATGGAACCAAAATTAGGTGTAACGTCTTTGATTTTTGACGAACATTTTGTAACCTGATTAGCGTCATGATAGACCTGCGCAAAGTTTTTTGCAAACAAATTACAAATATCGGTACCAGTTGATGCTACTGTATCGTCGAGTTGCACTTGGGAAGGATATGCGCAATTACCCTTTCTTTTCATTTTCATTAAGGACCAGAACAGTTTAGGGTTTTTAAAGATCGAGTATTCAAGCATTTTAATATATGTATTATAACATACAGTAGATATCTTACGACAATCGTATCGAAGTTTTTCGAATAGAACTATATCTAAGGGATTGTTAAACTTTTTAATTTTTTTATGAAGTTTAAATTTGTCTTTTAGGAGTCGAATAAGACAATGAGAGTACCAGGGAGGGTATTTATTGTTGCCGTTATTCTTCTTCAAAGGAACACATTCTTTTATGATATCTCTTATTAATTTGTAAAAACGGTCTAACATATGGTTAATTGATAAACAGTCTTTAAATTCCTGGTCCCAATTAATTAAATTAATTAACTTTACGATATTTTCGTAGTCAGCTCTGAAAAAGTCACGTCTAGTAGAGATTTTAGTTTGTAGGTGGTAAGGTACTTTTAAGTGTGAACAAAATTCTAGAGCAGGATGTAAAGGATCTTCTATGATTAACGGTGTGGTACACCGCATTAGATTCTGAACAGGAATATTACTAATAATCAGATCGAGCACTTTACCTTTACTATTTAGTATATCATTATATTGGATAAAGTCATTTATAAAAATAAATTCTAGTAAAGTCGCACTTACTTCAGAATGGTTTGATATGGTTTCTGTATTGGTGTCAGTCGACCATTTTATGTTGTTCAAGTTAAAGTCTCCAATTATGATTGTGTGTTTGTTCGATTCAGCAGCTTTTTGAGCAAATTTAATAAACGACTCTAATAGATCAGTATTAAGCGGAGGTGGCAGATAAACTGCACCAATGTTTAGTTACTCAGTTGTTCCTTCGGAGTTGTTGACATTAATACTCACCCAGAGATCCTCGCAGGTACCTTCGTAATGTGGCAGTCTTATTGGTTTTAAATGTTTTAATATGGCAATAAGTACCCCGCCTCCCCTTGTACGTGTTTTATAGCGACTAGTTTCGCGATCCCGTCTGAAAACTATATATCTATCATCGAACAGTTCAGAATTATAAATGTCACCACTAAGCCAAGTTTCTGTAAGTACAATAATATCGTAGTTTTCCAGAGATATATTAAAGAATAAATCAACAGTTTTAGTTCTTAATCCGCGTACATTCTGGTAATAAAATTTAAGATTATTGAATTTTTAGAAATAATACAATAATAACAAGCAATATATACAAGACAACAAAAAATTACTTAACAGATTTCAGCATATCTGTACTGTTAATGACCAAGCTCTGCGTAGTGTCGTCCTTTCTCATAAAAACCCTGCCGTTACGTATCCAAACGTATTTAAACCCTAACTCTTTGGCACGTACCCTTGTGGCTGCATGTATTGCTTTATTAGCAGCGGAGAGATGTTCCGTTACGTATATTGGCTGCGGCTTATCTGTTGCAATACCAAGATGGCTCGAGTTCAGTTTATTGTTTGTATTTGCTCTGTTGAATTTCATTACCGCGGCTAGGCAACTATCTCGAAGACGAGGAGTATTGAATTTAACAATGATCGAACGCGGCCGTTTGCTTGCTGCATCTAACTTTGCTATTCTTGAACAGTACACGACATCACCATCATTAATTTCATGGTTTGTAATTCTCCCTAATTGTGTAATTAAGCTAATTAAGTTTTCAGAGCGGTTTTCCGGTACATTTTGCAATTCAATGTTACAGGATCTTGAGGTTTGCTCCATAATATTTAAACGTTTTGTTAGATCTTCAATTGAAGTCTGCATACTGCTATTTACTTTTTCGAGTTCTTGTATTTTTACTGATTTTTCTAATAAAGACGACTTCATAGTTTCGAATTGATCATTGAAAAATGAGAGAGATTGCTGAAAGCTAGATAATAAATCATTCATTCCTTTAAGTTGATCAGCTAAGGCTTCATGAACAGCATTTTTTATTTCATGTCTGATTAATTCCTTTAAGTCGGCTCTAGATATCTCAAAAATATTTTCGTCACTCGATAAAGCTTGAGTACTATTAGTACAGCGTTTGTTACGCAGTGTTACGTTGGTGCAAGACGGAGAGCTCGTATTGTGAGAGAGTGTAATGTCCGATTGAGGCGGACGTAAAGGAGTATTAGTATTGTTACCTTTAGGTATTTTATTCATGCAATCTGGACATTTCCAAGCATTTTTCTGCTCAGTACTCAAAGCTCTCGAATGACCGTCATTAATATTAGCACATAGTGTATCGTAATTTTTGTGGCATTTTGAACACTTCAAACTATCCTTAATTTTTAAAGCATTAAAGCAGCCTGCACAAGTTTTAGTAGACATTGTTTTCGATAAATTATATATAAATAATTTTCAATAATTCTGACTTGAAGATGTCAAGTTGACATATTTTTTTTTTTTTTATACAATTATTAGTCTACGATTTAATTATTCAAGCACATAAAATACATATATGTCTCTTATAAAACATATACTTTTTTCCTCTTTGACTAAAAAAAATACATAGAGTTATTAATCTTACTTCTTACTAATATTATAAATGTGAAAGTTTCGATGTTTGGATGTTTGGATAGATGTTTGCTACTCAATCACGCTAGAACGGCTGAACGGATCTGGATGAAATTTGACACAGAGATAGATTATAGTCTGAAATAGGACATAGGCAACTTTTTATCCCAAAAAAGTGTACTGTTCCCGTGGGATAGATTTGTTTTTGTTTTTATAGAGGCGAAAGCGAGCGAAGCAAGGGTGAGCCGCGAGTACCCCACATACGAGTATTCAAGTATTTTAAGAGATTACGTGCTCTGAGTCATTGCACTTTTAATAAATACGGAAATATTTTATACTCTCAGACACGACGGCTATTGTGCATACATAATTTTAAAACCAACTTTAGAGTTTAGTGTCGTACATACATAATATATATACTAATATAGCCTAGCTTTATAGGACGGGTAAAATTATTTTTAAATTTCCCTTCGAATGTAAAAACTTAGGTAGAGAAAAAAGGAAAAATAAAAAAAATTGTGTACCATCATAAAGAAAAAGTGACATGTTTAGTTTTAAATTTTCGAGGTTTTTAATATAAGTGCATTGACTAAAAGTAAATATTTACCACTCAATACTCATCTATATGTTGTTTTTGAGTCATGGTGATTCATTTGAGAGAACAATGGCCTATTTGTCTCATTTTTGTAATTTTTCTCCAAACTCTTAGTCAACTATAACAAGCTAAGCCGAAGCTTGAGTTATTTCTATTTACAAATAACAGTTCTATTACTTGTGTTTGTTCAGTGGTTCGACCGTAATCAGATTTTTTATTGATAACACTAAAACTCGTCAATAGCTAAACAAAAAACCAAACATAACCGTTTTAGAGAAACATATATTTATGACACATTTAGCTCGGTTTGTAGTGACCCTACTTGCTGTACCAGCGGTTGCGGGTTCAAATCCCGCTGCATTCATTTGTGTGATGAGCACGAATGTTTGTACTCCGGTCATGGGTGTTTATATTTATGATATGTATGTATTTAATGTTATATATGTGTAGTGTATCAACATCCATAACACAAGTCTCGTAGCTTACCATGGAACTAGATGGTGATGTGTGTTAATGTACCAATATATTTATTATTTATGTTATGTCTTTTAATATTTAGTGAAAAATTAATTTATAATAAATAATAATAATATAACTTTATTGACTTAAATACAAAAGGGTTACAAGACATATTTTTTAAAAGCTATAGATATAAACAACAATTTATACAATCATTTTTTTACAATTTTAATCAATTTTTATTTAAGTACACTATTGCCTAGTTTACATATAGATGAATGATCCATATTTCTATTTTTGGATCAAATAGAGACAGAAAATTGACTGAATCTTCATAATATGCTGGTTCGTATATTTTTTAAATTCAGCCTTTTTTCAACGGCCCACTGCTGGGTACGGCCTATCTCGAATTAAGAATGCATGAGGGATGAGTTGGCGGTCTTCACACGACTTTTTAATGTTAAAGTTTACAAAATAATATGATATAAGAATATCATATTAATATGAAGTTATGTACCATGAACGAATTAGAGACTAATTCGTTCATGTTATGTACCTACTTTTCAAATGATTTATTCTTTCTATATATATACATATATATATATATATATATATATATATATATATATATATATATAAATATTTATTACCACTTACATACGATTAAGAAAATACAAACAAAATATTAAAAAATATGTATATTCGAGAATGTATCATCTAGGCTGTTGACATGAGGTCATAAATTAAATTTTTTTACAGGTATTATAAACGGAATTATGCCGTCATTTAAATAATTAAAAACAAAATAAACTGGTTGTTGAAACTTGAAAGTAAAAAAACATCAATACAAAATATTAGAGTATATTTAATGTTAACTAATTTGTTGGCCATGCGTATTAGGATTATTTCTAAAAATGCGAAAGTTTCTACGTGTATATGTTACTTACTCCTTCACGCTCAAACGGCTGGACTGATTTGAATGAAATTTGGTACACAGATAGGTTATGGATAGACACGGATAGAGCCTAGGATTCGAGTATATGGATAGGGACATAAGGACAAAGGAAGCGAGGATAAGCCGCTATTAGTTAATGAAACCTAAGTATAAATAATCAAAAACCACAAAACAAAAATATGTGATGTTATTTCTAAGTATTTATATAATAAAGAAGGTTTTATTAAATATTTTGTGTCACCGCAGACCGATCTTTGTGACAAAAGAGGTCTTTCCAACAAGTGTGACGAGCGTCGTAATGTTGCCTTCTTTTGAAGTCAAATGGCGTGGAAGATTAGAATAATAAGGGTTTTCGTTTTCTATTTTATAATCTGTATTTGCGTATCTTAAATTTACTAAAAGTATACATATTAAATGTCTAATATATAACATATTTAATATACAAATAAATAAAATTGAAGTATATATCTGTTTGTAATGTTCAAATAACAGCTTTTATTAAATACATATGAAAATATATACCTGTCTGCTTGTTCCGGCTAATCTCGGAAACGACTGTACCGATTTTCATGGACTTTCACTGGCAGATAGCTGAAGCTATAAGGAGTAATTAAAGCTACTTTTATGTTAGAAAAAGGACTAGGGTTCCGCGCAAAAAGTTAAAACCTATGAAATTGTGAACAAAATCGTACCTAGGGAGGAGGCACGCATCTGAGTGAAGTGAGGCTAAGTGGCTAGTTTTAATAATAATCAAATAAAGAATGTAGTGTTAGTATCACTAAGTTTCACTTTATAGACGAGTTGAGATTGTGTTCATTTGGGTTAATCTCAGAAACTACTGTGTCGATTTCCATACGGTTTTCACCGATAGAAATGAGAATTGTCTAAGAAGATTATAGGCTATATAATTTATGTAAATTTTGCGGTAATACGCCACCAGTACTCTGATATTTGAGATTGAAGTCGAAAAAACTTCCTTTTTGTGAGCTTTCGTCATACTATAATTACCAAAGTATATATAATAAATAACTCACCTATTTAATTCGTTTTGAGAACGTTTTATTTTGTTCTAATATAATGTTTGTTACATTTTACATTTAAATGTAAAAGAGAAATCCTTTAGCTTCAAAAGCAAGACAGGCCGTCATCGAACCCGGGCCCTCCAGCCATGTTGCCGTAGAACAAAGACCTGTCTCGTCCCACTACAAAGTGCTGCCCGAGAAGACGAGGGATAACAAAGTAATTTCTTCAAAAATATTTGCTTACAGGATGTCTGTTCATTTGACATGTACATAGTTTCTTTATGATTATAAAGGTTTGCCATCGCCTGTTGTACTCTTTGTGTTTTGCAATTGTGAACGGATTATAGTTATCTATACTAATAAAGGTAAAGTTTGTGAGTTTGTGACGTTGTAGAGGGTAATCTCTGGATCTACTGAACCGATATAGATGTTTCATAAGGAGATAGTTTGAGACTAGGAAAGACATAGGATACTTTTATCCCGTAAATTATCCCTTTAGGGAGTGAAAATGGGGATGAAAGTTTGTACGGGGAATCAAGCTATCATTATTATATATACCTAGGTGATATTAGGTTCTTTAGAGCTTTTATTATTTTCAAAAGTCATTAATTATGTATGTATATTATTCTGTGTAGTGTTCATAAAATCGTAATTAATGCCTATCATTTTCCAAAAAATGCCAAAATCGTATTCCGTAAAGCAGATAGCTGAAGTGTTGTCAAAGCCATCATGTCTCAACGCCAAAGTCCAGTGGCAGAACCCAATCAAAACTGTCACGTCGCGCGACCACTCGCTCGCGTCATGTGAAATTACATTTTAAGTTGTGTCCACTTTATTTGAAAAGTGTGGACAATGTTTGGTTTTGCATGTGATATTTATTTTTATAAATTATTTTATATTTTACAAATTGAAAAAAAAATAAGTAGTAATTTCAATTATTATTATTATAGGTCTTTAAACGTGTCAGGCCCTACTTTAAGCCCCTTACTTACCGGTTGGTGTGTTTGGAAACAATAACAGCTCAAGCACGAGATATATTATGTAAACAGAACATTTCAAATTTAACTTAACGTCAATAGAAATAGTTTGTAATGAAAATTAGCTATATCATAAGTAGACAACTACGTCGGTGGTCACCAATTCGATTTTTAGATGAGATCAATATTTATATTAATCAAACAGATGTTTGTCCTGGCGAGTTAAATGACAAAAACAACTCGACACGTACTAATAGATGATATGGAGGAATGAGGCCCATCAAATAAAGTTTAATATAGTAAATATAAACAAATATTTTCCCCCATGATGTTCGCCATTCAAAGTCACTAAATATTTTTAAACGTCGTCTAACTAATTATTATCTGTCTTGTTAGTTATTGAGTATATATGTATATACTATGTATTCATATGTAGTTATGTATCTATATGTATGTATTTATGTATCTGTGTACGTATAATATATTATACGTGTATGTATATATTTTTGTCTTTTGTATGTATTCATGTTTGTAAACGTAGTTCATCATGTCTGTATTTAGTGTTAATTGTACCGTCCCGTCTTCGATTCTTCTAATCCTTTCACCAAAGGTTGTCTGTAAGAGATTGTTCGTAGCAATAAGACCGCCTTTGCATGCCTATTTGTTATTTATTTTTTATTTTTGTCTTTTGTAATCTTTTTTTTGTGTGTGCAATAAAGAATTTATCTATCTATGTATTTTGTAATTTTTAATTATTAATTATATAAACTTATAAGCAATTTTCTCCTTCTCGTCTCTTGAGAATC